CATCTCCTCACCCAGCTCCTCACCATCTTCTCACCCAGCTCCTCACCATCTCCTCACCATCTCCTCACCCATCTCCTCACCATCTTCTCCCCCAGCTCCTCCCCCAGCTCCTCCCCCAGCTCCTCCCCCAGCTCTCTCTGATAACTCAAACATATGGTTCATGGGCAAAGTTGACATTCTCAGCAATCGTAATAAAAACATCCATAAAGTTTTGACTGTAACAGAAATGACATGAGAGCAGGTCCAGGTCCATGGAGCAGCTCATGCTGACGTCACTGATGATGATTCTGGATCTCCTGTTAGCTTGTTTTCATTTTGACATTATAATCATAAACAATACATTGTTAGCTGTTTATAATTAATTTTTCAGCCTCAGTAAATCATCAACTACAGAAAAATGGAACACATGAAGGAAACTGTCAGTCAGTGAGTCGTTAAACTGCTGCTTTACTGGTTTCAGTGGTTCTGATCAATGATGACTTGTTTGGAGCGTGTGCAGCTCATTCTCCAGATAAATCTTTTGTTTCCACCCAGAGAGGAAGAGTCGTGGTTCAGCTCTCGTTCTGTCACGGGATGAAATAATAGTTGTTGTCGTGTCAGATGTTGCAGATGACTTCTGTGCTTCTCGTTTCTTTTAAAAAGTCGGAGAAATGAAAGAAATGGCGTCGTGTCAGGGATGTTGCTGTTCCTGATGCTGCCTGAAGAGAAATGTGATTAAAAAAATAATTAATTCAATGGGTCAAAAAGGGCACATCTTGTTTTCTACGAGTGCTAAATAAAAACGATGAAACTCCTTAAAGAAACAACAAAAACAAGTTCTTAAGATATTTAACAACCACCATGTTTTCATCTGACTGGGGTTTAAAATAGAAGAACTTGATTTAGTCAGTGCAGAAACATAATAAAATAAATGTCAGAATAATCAATCTAACCCACTTTCCTTTGCTGCAAGGAGAAAAATCTTCTATTCAACTTTAAAATATAATCTAAAATACCAATAATGCTCAGTCAGATCATCTGGACAGTTTCTTTTTTTTTGTGGAAAGACATTTCACCCTCTATCTGGAGGACTTCATCAGTCTGAAACCACTTTGGTGGTGGCTACCTGCCTGGGAGGAGTCGACGGGGGCGAGGACAGACTCCAGAAACCAAAGGATTGTACTGCTTAGTGGGAAAACCGGTTACTTGGGACTCCTCAGACTGATGAAGCCCTCCGGATAGAGGACAAAACGTCTTTCCACAAAAAAGCAACTGTCCAGATGACCTGACTGAGCATTAGTGGATTTGGTACCTGGATGACTGAGCATGAACTTTGATCATCTCAAATACTTATTGTGAAATTTAAGTTTTTGAAAATCATTTTCCCGCAGCCAATCGAACCTGCTCAGATTATTTGAAACGTGTGAATGTTTCCGAACGTTGTAGCTGTTTCATTCAACACTTGCTCTTGTCAGGGGTGGACGTCTCCTCCTCTCCCTCTCTGTGAAACTGCTTTAGAGCCTCTCTTCTACAAATCTTCTGAATCATAACTATGGACTTGGATTTGGTCAGTTGGTCCCTCAACACAATTCATAATATTTCTTCGAAAAGAAGACGCATGCAGCTGGATATCTCATCGACTTTGAAGACTTGATGATGTGTCTATCTCTGCTGTCATCTATGGATTTTAAGGACGCATATTTAATTGGATTTATGATAACTGGTTCCTGCTTTTTGGATTCGGCTGGTTGCTGGTTTTAGCTACAATCAAGGAAGTTGTCGGCAGCAAATCTGGACCTGGTCAGGCTGCCTGCCTTATATGATGGCTTGGTTCGTGCCTCGAGTGCCCAGACTCTTGGCAGAATGGATCAGATCTCGGGGATTATTCTCAGACACGGTCCATTGGTGTGGTCATGAAGCGAGTGGACCGACACAGACTCAAGGTAGATGTCATTAAAGTTCTGCCTGTCCCCAAAACAATCATGTTTATCTGAATTCAGCTCCCTGACTGGTCTTGACAGGCCGTCTTATCTCAACCCGCCTGGAAGTTTTGTAAACCTGATGCTCTGCCCCCTCCCCCCACCTCCTACTGAAGAATCTCCATGGACTTTTCAGAGGAGCCCAGCTGAATAATCATCCTGTCATCATTCATGACTCTGGATTCGTCTCTGGTCGTCCTCGGCACCCCCCAAGTGTGCACGGATCTCTCCAGAGGAACTATTTGAACTGAGTGATTTTATCTGAACTCTGCAGTGTCTCTGTGTGTTGTCTCTGTCTGCTCACCCCCCCCCCATCCCCATAATGTCAGCGTCATTATGTGCTCGTGTGCAAGATTTTTTTTCATTACCTCACTGTTGACCTTCAAACAAGAATTTTTTTGTCTCCAAACCCTGTGTGTCATTTTTCACCACTTTTATTGTCCAACAAGTCTCACTGTAAATGAGTCTTCGAGGCTCAATGTGACTTATCTGTTTAAATAAAGGTTGAATGAATGTTTTTTCTGTCCTTGTGATAAAACTACACATTGATTTATGTTTTAATCTTTTTGGTCCTTTCATCATTTTTCTTTCCTTATAGCATGAAGCCTGAGCCCTACATGCTTATTGAACATGGGCTTTATAAAAAAAAAAGTTTGATTGAGCCCCCATCCAGGAAGACGTGTCTAAAAAAACAATATGTTGGAACTGAAAACCAACTTTTATTCCATATTACAGAAAATAAGTGTTTTGCAGAGAAATGAACACTAAGAAGTATTTAGAAAGGAAAGAAAGAAGCTGAAGCATTCTGTTCAGCTGATGTGCAGCTCAGCTGGTTTCTGGTTTCTGCAGGAAATCTGGGTTTAGTCCTGACACGGGTCCAGACCTGAGACTGGACTCATGTGGAGCTCCACTTCTGGTTCCTGTGTGTAGGTGGCGCCAGATACTTTCCCGTCTGTGGACAGTTTGGTCCCTCACTGAGCTATTGCATGATGAAAAATAAGATTTGCACAAAAAAAAAAAAACATTTTAATGAAATTATTGCATCAAGTTTGCTTCAAAATCATTAACAAAATATTAAAATTATAATTAGTCACTCAACAACCTCAGAATGTCAGAAAATCATCTCTAACTGCTTCAAACCTCTGTCAGAAAGTCTGACTGGCACATTTGTCATGGACATCCATCCATCCATCCATACATCCATCCATCCATACATCCATCCATCCATACATCCATCCATCCATTAATCCATCCATCCATTCATCCATTAATCCATCCATTCATCCATCCATCCATT